CCCAGGGCGAAGGCCTTTCGAAAGTGCCGAGCATTCTGTTTTAGTCATCAGTTTTTTATGTGCACGTGGGCGTTCTTTTAGAAGAAAATAGTAGATAGGGCATTGTTTTGAACAAATGTGGGCTGAATTGCCAACTGACTCTTGTTCAAATACTCCATTTAATTTGGCTCTTTCATCTCTCCCCCTTTTAGCTCACTCTTCTCCCTCCAAGAAATCGGCCCCAAAGCCTCATCTGCCGAAAAGGAAAATAAACGTGGTGGCAGACTAAGGTCTGCCGGTCTCCCGCAGTCCGTCCCTAACAGGCCTCAACAACGTGCGCGAAACAGCCTTTCCTCCGACGCTATCGTCCCGGCGGGACCTTTACCCCACAATAACTGGAATGCTTCCCAATCGGCTGTCACAGTACACGCCGCCCAAGCACTGCACAATAATGTTAACGGTCCGCCACCCGCGACGTCTGCGTACAGAGGCCGCTTTCCCTATCCTCCCCCCCAATCCGGCTTACTTGGTCACCGTCCCAATGGGGTTTCGCCAAGGCAGCCCTTTGTCCCACCTGCAGGCCACCGTTCTTTCACTAGCAGTCGATTTACTCACCATACAGCACTGCGAGGTGGCGGAGTTAGCGGTCCGAACGATCACTTTGGACAGTATTCGTCGAATAGTATGAATCAGTCGGCCGGCCCAGCCCCACGTAGGTCCTCAATTTCAGCTTGTTTCTTTACTCTGATTATCTAAAGAAGACCAGTTCAATAATAACCGCTATGGCATTCCTCTGACAGGTTCGACAGAGTGACATGAAACATTTCCTATTAGATTCTTCAATCTTCCACCTCTAAATACGCGGTGGCCCCTTAGTATCCGTCACATTCTTTCCCATACAAAAAACTTATTCTTACTTGTAAGTTCCAGTTTGAAACCCCGTCATCTTTCGGTAGCAGCACTATCTTCATACATTTGATTAAGGGGTTTATTGGGATGTGCTTGAGGAAACAGACTGATCGAAAAAGGTTCTGGCAGTATCTTGGATTTTAATTTAAACAAAAGACCACTGATAAGATTTATCTGGTCTCAATCTGAGAACGTCCAGTTTCCAGCTACATGTTCGTGTGTGTGGCCCAGCTATTGTATATTGCAGCGAGACCTCCGCTTTTATTTGTCCTTCCTTTCAACTAGTTTTTCTTATAGTTAGTCGTTTCGAGGGCCTTCGTGGCCTGATATACTTTAAGTATTTAACTTGTCGCCTCTTCCTCGACGGAATGAAGCGGATCTCAAACACGGTAGCATACGATGTAACCCGAACTAAAGGCGTGAGCAC